GGAAATATGCTTTGGAATGAATTACTCCAAACTTATTAATAAATTTACAATAACATTTCAACAGCTGACTCCTCTTTTCAGGTGCATTCCCAGGCACCTGTAGAGAAACTAGAACAAAAAATGCTCCCAAAGTAACATTCCTGAAAGTCTAACCTGTGGTCAGCATTTGCATGCTCCACATGGCTCTTGCCCAGAGGGAATATGCTACAGTGGAAAAAAACTACAAGGTAGAAATACACCTACTGGCTAATTATTTGAAGGGAGGGCATGCAAGGGGTTGGCGAGATCAAAGGTACGTTTTAGCAAGCCACGGTGCTGGGGAGGACTGCAACGCGTGGCAGGTGGGTCACATCTGCAGAGAAGCCCCTGCAGTCTGGGAGATGAAAGGCATCCTACCCTACTCTAAATACAGCTATTTTAGTTAGGGTTTGCCACAGGGAAAGGCTTTAGCCAAATTTTTATCATTAGGCTATATTAGAAGAAAAGCTTAGGCTACACTAGTATAAATGTCTAAGTGAGAGGCACATTTTCCAGGGACCCAGAGTGGGAGCAATTTGGGAGCAATCCCTATATTCTTCTGTTACAGAAAAAGGACCTTGTGGTTTTATGATTAATCCTATCCTTATTGCAAAGCAAAATGGTAATTGCAAGGGTGGTTAAAAAGCATTGATTAATTTGTAATGGGACAGCATCCAGCCCATGCAATCCTGCCTCCCACACTAACCTTCCTCCACCACTCAAAACCAGGGACTGCGAAAGCCTGTAAGCTGGAGGAACGTGTCTTTTGTGTTTCTATCTCACCTCACTGCAATACATGTGGATTCCCATCAATATTTAGTCTTTAAAAAAAAAAAAAGGGTTAAATCCATCATAAATATTAAACACCAGAGTTTACTGGCAAGTTTCCCTGAAAACAAACTTCAAAAAATAATCTCCAAAAAAGATGTCAAGGCCCTTGGGAGAACTGACAATGCCATGTCATCAGATGTTGTCTTATAAGGCTAAATTAAGCATCTGACCAGAGTTTAATTTCTGTAAAAACTCATGCTAATTTAAATTGCTTTAGATTTAATTAAAAATGCTTTTGTATAGAGATAATAATGTAACTCCGTTAATTAGTATCAAGTGGCATCTAGAGGGCATATTTAAAAACTAATCTGGAGAATAAATAGAGCTAATTAACAGTCAGAATAATGCTTTATGATTGTCTTTTGTTTATAAATGCTATAATGTTCAATATGCTATTAAATGAAATTGGTAATTAATATATATCAAAGTTATTTCTTAATGCTCTTTTAACTAAAGAGTATTTCTTACACACCATTTTTCAGACAGACTGAACACGATTCATTTCTGGAGGGAGGGAAGGAGGAGCGGGGAAGGAGAACGGCTGCATGACGTACTACATGTGAATTCAATTAGGACCAGCTCATTCATCTCCCATAATGCAGACCGTATGTGTTTATGAATCCACGGGGGACGTCCAGCGAGGCATCAGTTTGCATCTATGAGGTGTTTGCCAAAGTGCACTGCTGACCGTGGCAACGGCCGGCTCAGGGAAGGTTTGCGCTTTATGGCACGCACAACCCCAGGAGCAGCACCGTGGTGCTGTTTGGTGGGCAGAGAAGTGGCAGATTTTGCCTTCAAAATCTAAGCCTTGCAAAACCAGAGTCACGGTTCTGAGGAATGAGAACAGCTCAGAGGTTTGTTGTAGTATCTTTTAAAAGATCATGGGGTGCTCAAATGCTACAGGAGTGAAGCTTGTAAAAGAAAGTGGTGCTAGCAGTGAGGATGTGCTGCCATCCAATCCCACCACAAGGCTGGAGGAGATGGCAGATGAACTTGGAAGAAGAAGGGCAGACCAGATTTGGCATAAGGCTCAGTTTCTACATGACTTTTTGTAGGCAAACATGAGCTCCTTCTGAGTCATCTGGACCAATGCAGCTGCTGAGCTCATGGCTTGCTTTGAGCAAGGCAGAGGGAATTCGTGCTTGTGGCTGGAAAAGGTTGTGTAGATGTTATCAGAGTTTACCATGACCAAAGGGCTCAGAGGGCTGCCCTTGTCCTCAAACAGAAGTTCCTGTTATCCTCCAATCTCTCTTATGACGACAGGATTGATTGGATTCACTAAATCAAATAAAATCATTGAAGTACTCTAAATTACATCATGCATGAAAAGCAGAGGGGACTAACTCTGTCTTTCTGTGTCCTTTAATGATTAAAAATCAGAAATAACCCTCCAAAATACAATTAAAATAAAAAGCACTTTCATTTGGCAATCTGCACTACCCGTGGTGTGCAATTTTTTGAAGCACCATCAAATGCAGCACATGTCCTACTTGTATTTTTTTATCCATAATTCTGTGTATTCCTCCCTTTTTAATGCCTTGCTAATGTTGAGAAATCCTTTAGCTACCCAGAGCGGAGTCCATTTCAAAAAAGGAAAGCATGTCTTTTCTCATGACAAGGCTTCAGCATTACTTTGTAGAACAAACTTTCAGAATCAACTTTGAAAAGTGTACAAAGAAAAAAAGTAATTATCATTAACAAGATTAAAAGCTAGCCACAAGCCCAGTAACTGCTGCTCTAACCTCTGTGAGATGACTTTCATGCCAGATTGCAGACATACACTTCCTTCTATAACAAGTACGTGTTCAGCAATAACAAGAACAAGTTGAGATTATTTACATAGCATAGATAGGTGTCAGCAGACACATACCGACAGTACCTGAGATCCCAAACACCAGAAAAATGATCAAAGGAATTTGTCTGTGTACTACAAGTTGGATTAGCCTCAAGTGCAGACAAAAACACTGGAAGAAATACGAACATATGGTATAACACTTCCCAGCATGGCAAACAGCCATGGCAAACACTTTTGGAAATAAAATTAGACTGGGGAAGCAAAGCTGGGGAAAAACAATGCCAAGCATGAACTCTGAAAGCATTTCAGCGCAAGGTCATTGAAATACTCGCCATGTAACTTCACCAGTGCCATCATTCTACCTTTTCTTTTCTGATAGATCTGCATAAGCCAAATAAACCCCAAGAAACACTCAGTTGCACATAAAAATGAAAGTGCACTACAGTGGTGAGCAATATTTTTGATGCTGTTTATTCTGGAGACTAAAACAAGGCAGAAACTGAAAATAACTATAAAAAATAATTGCTGGTTTCTCCAAAGTACAAAGTAAATAAAAAGCAATATTTTTGTAAGTATGTAATCTGAAAAGGAGTACTTGCAACTTGTAAGGAAAAATTTCTGGTTTGTTGTTTGGTTTTTTTTGTTTGTTTGTTTGTTTGGTTTTTTTTTAAGAATCAATGATATAAATCTCTCTTATTTTAAGGTCTCCAAGAAAACACTTAAAAACTGTTGCTTCCTGACTTCATCTACCCTGCACAAAGACTGTACAATTTATTAGCTCTGAAGGGTGCAGTGGTGGGAAGGGAGATTTGTGGTAGAACATGGATTGTGACAAATGTTCCCCAGCTCTGTAACACTGCAAGAATTTTGAATGGTTCTTTTCAAAGTTTTAAGCTAAAAAAAGTACTGTTAATTTTGTGAGGTTCAACATTTATCCCATAAAACTCACCTAACTTTGTACAGCTGGTGACTGAACTAGTCTAGTATGTAACAACAGTGACTTGCAAAGAGCTGCTCTTGGCTTTTCTACAAACAGGAACTGTCTAGAATAGCATGACATCAGGTAACGAAAAATGTTAAGGGTTGGATACAAAATCCCATTCATGACGGTTTGACTCTGAGGCACTCATTTTAAGCTCCTTTAGATTATACATAGTATACTAATAATACACAATGTAATATGTAGAAATAATAATAATTAAAAATACTATACATCATTCTAAGCTCCTTCATTGATATCTCTGTTTTTAGGAGCTTACTAGAGAAGTAAGGAACAATTTGGAGCAAAGAGATGCATCCAAATCAAGCCATTAGAAAACAGGTATCAGTGCATCCCCAGGGACCAGTGGCACTGTTATGTGATTAACTGTTAGCAATATTGAGCTGCCCAGTCTGGTCCTACATGAAAACATTCACGAGCAAATCTCAGACTAACCAAAGAGCATGGATTGAACTGGAGAGCAAGAGAATTCAAGTTTCTATGAGGTAATTTCATATAACAATCGAATGCATTTTAAAATTTTACAGTTACCATAACTGTTTCTTTTCTCTAATTAAAAAAAAATAAATTCAAACCAAACAATAAACAACCCTCACTCCCCAAACCCAAAGTGTATCACCAGTTTTTGTCAGAACTACCAACGTAAAGCTAGCAGGCAGGACAGTTGGGGAGGCAGATCCCGCACAGGCAAAAGGGGAGCTCAAGCTGTCTCGGAAGGCAGATGGGGAAGCAGCGGCATCGGTAAGGTTGGTCTCTCCTCCTGTGCACATGACACCTAACCCTACCCACAGCATAGCTGAAGGCGGCTCAGAGATGCACAACATACTCTTGCACGTGGCTAAGGAAAGATAGCTAATATAAAGGCCACCAAACTATTCAGAGAATTAATGTGGGGTCCTAATTCGTGGTGACTTTTACACTGCAGGTCTCCTCCTTGGTTTTAGAATAAAGGAGGAGCTGGTGAAAATGGTTTGATCAAACCCACGAAGCCTGAGGTCTCCCTGCACACAGTGACTGCAGCCATGGAATCATCCATGGAGCAATCCCTCACTGCCCTTCATCCCAGACCCACGAGATAGAGTTGTTCGGTTTCCAAAGCTGGTTTTAAAGCTACTTCACTGAGCCAGACAAACCACTTCCAGGGGAGTTTTTTCTGGAGGGGAAATAACATATTGTGCAAGTTAAGAAAACCCTCAGATAGAAACTCCTGGCCATTATCTGCTTGGGGAAGATTCAAAGCAATAAAGACAGCGAAAGGCTTTATCTCCAAAAGAAGCTTTCTGCAAGCATGAAAGAACTGCACTAAAATTTGAAGAGGCGCATATTAAAACAGTGATTTAGTGAATGATCTTTTACCTAAAACTCTCAATCTCTCTGCTCCAACCACCACTTCGTTGTCATCTGCAGAAAACAGCAATTTTCCAGAGAGGGTTTTCACTTCAAATTTTTGGCTGTGTGCTTCCACTGCTTGGGGACCTAGAGGGAAGAAGAGATTTACCATAACCTTTAGTGAAAAGTATAAGAAAATCACATAGTAGCTTCATACATTTATTAAACCCATCTGCTGAGATTATCCTAATAGTTCTGCAGATACAACCTGCATCTGACACATCAAGCAGGGAGGTCTGTGCTTTTCAGAGGGTGACTTCTCGTTAGAAAAGGGCACTGTTTTCTACCCAAATAACAACCCTCAAATATATCTACTTATGGGCTTTTTTAATGCTTATGTGTGTTATAAAATCAGCATTAAACTTGGGAAAGCTGGGAAATTTTTACAAAAAGAGAGACCCACAAGTGAAATAGCAGTGAATATGCCCAGCCATGCTTTGAGAGTATTGGCGCAGCTGTAAGAGGCATCAAGAGTTCCTAAGTACATTTTGCTCGGACTGATGCTGCAATGTGAAAGATTCCTGGTGTTCTGCCTGTTAAATATACCTGGATTAAAATGATATCAGTGTCATGCACAGTCCAATTTGAATTTAAAAAAACCCCAAAAAACCAAAAAAGACAAACATCATCGCAGGAGCAAATGTTTTCTTTTAGACCATTTCAATCATTTGCAGGCCAAGATGTACGGCAGTCTCCCACATTTCAGAAAGTTTTTAGATGAGTAAAACTTTCCTTCACAGCTCTTATTTCGATTCTGGTGCTTCTCCTGCAGGCTGCTGTGCACTGCAGCGCTGGAAAGCCTCTGGCAATGCGTTTTGTTGTGGAGCCTGATAAACATCAGCTACCTGAATAGCAATTCTGTGCAGGTCTGTGGCTTAAAAGCTGCAAAGAGCAGACCCCTCAGTTACCTGACTAAACTTCAGAGAAATCACCATCTAACAGCCCCGCCCAACCAGTCCAAGCCACAACCTCCCTGGAATATGCTACTGCGCACGGCAGGTGGTCGGACTTTGCATGACTTCTGGCCATCTTCCTGACTAGTCTCATTTCTCAAAAGGCAAGAGAAATAAGAGCTGATAGCCAGTACTTTCTTATAGGCAGTTTCTAACTCCATCTATACCCAGCGTTTGCCAGCGCAGGTCATCTGTACTGGCATCAGGGCAAACAAAGAATCACACGTGTGGTTCAGACTACAGAAAAGTGAGGCTATGCCAAGATCCCTGGAAACACTTAAAAATCCTGCAACCATTCTGAGAAAAGGTTGATTTGTACCTTTTTAATTAACTGCCTCCCTACTCATCATTGCGGCACGTACTACATGGGACCATGTCTTTGCTCCACTCTGAAACCAAAGCTGCTGCCGCATGCAGAAATGAGCTCAATATCCAGAACATCATGTTGGGAGATGCCACTGACTGCGTCCTCCCAAGTTCTTATGAAATGGAGGTGCTTGAGTGATCAAATACCCTCTTGAAAATATATGGAGAACCAACAAACTAAACACGTTAATTCTGAATGTAAGAATCAGGGAGCTTGGGGCTGAATTTATTTCCTTCCTCCAGGCAATTTTCATGCATGCTGCTTAAATCATTGCTTACTGAAGCTGCATATTTAATTATTTAATACTGTGACTAGAGGCCAAGATGTTATATAAGCAAACCAAACAACCCAGTCTCACGTAGAAGCAACATGTTTATGGATTACTGGCTCTGCCACACAGCAATACTTCTTCCAGTCCCTAGATAAATCTCAATAAATAAATATCTATCCTATATCATATATATATATTATATATTAGCATGTATAATGCATTAGGCTCTTTCAACCCAAATTACACATGCATTCATTCAAAGGCTGCTGTGCACTGAGGATTTATGAAATACCCATTTCCCCATCAAACACACTCATGCTTGGGAGCACGAGAGCATTCTTCATCAGCAGAAGGGCACAGAGAGCTCTAAATTGCAAAGTGTCCCAACCCAGCCACAGTTAATCAGCAGAGTTCCCAAGATCTCAGGCAAGTTAAAAGTGTCTCAGGAAAAGCCTGTGCCTGTTACAACAGAAGTGTCAGCCTGCATATGTTCTTCTTGACCCTGAAGTCATGCAACTAACCTTTCTGTCTCTGGATCGGCTTTCAAATGAAAATGATGGTCTGCTTCATTATCAGAAAGCACCAACCAGCTGCCTCTCCAGCACACCTTTCATGTCCCTAGGTTTGTTTCTACAAAGTGGAGCGAAGTTTTCATTTGTACTTCACAAGACACCTGGGCTCCCCTCCTGCGTGCTAAAGCCAACACAGCATTCCACAACACACTTGCTTTCATCCCTCCTTAACTCTTTCACGCAGCCTTTCCTCCTCCTTACCTGTTACGAGGCGAGTAAGGACTTTAGTCTTCTCATTGAGGATGTTCACTGTCACATTTCTGGCAGACTGGAAGTACAGTGGGTTGCCCTGGAAGGAGAGCACGAGAGCAAGCATGTGAGATGTGGACAGCTGCCCAAGACCAGCCTTCTTGAGACACCTGGAGATTTGCTTTATGCTGCTGGGCTGCTGCTAATGGCCCCAAGGTTGGGTGTGTGGTTGAGGTACAGACTACCCTGCATTAACTTGTCCAGCATAAAACCGTAGTCCACACCTCTGGCCCAGATAACGTCCCAGAGACTAGCCTTGTTTTAGGCAAGGTTAGCTTTATTGCCAGGATAAGTCAACCAACTTGTTATTTTAAAATGTGCAGGTGATATGGGACCTGACCTAAGCTTCCCCAAGGTCATGGTGTTTTGGGAGGGTGGTTGACTGTGCACTTCAGTGCATTTCAGAGTCAAGTCTGCAATATTGCACACAGCTTCAGATGACTCCAGTGGGTGACTGTGTCTGCATAGGTGTCCCTGCCCATGGCAGGGGCGTTGGAAGTAGATGATCTTTGAGGTCTCTTCCAACCCAAACCATTCTATGATTCTATGAATCTATGATACCACACGTGAGTGCCCAAGGCTGCAAACAAGAAAACCTTAATAACATGTAGAAAGTGCCTTTGATCTCAAAGAGCTTATATACCGTCCAGCACATACCACCGTCACATTTCAGTCTGGAATGCTAGCTTGGGACCAGACCCATCCCATCAAGTCTGAAGATACACAAGACATGAAGTCTTTCCCACTCCCCACTTGACCACACAGATTTCTGAGCATTTTTCTTTTTTATGCTTTGAATATACCTCTGCAAGAAGAGTTAGAGCAGCTGTTAACACACAGGAGCCACACAGCTACCTGGCAGCATCCATCTCAGGTATTTCTCCCACAGAGTGAAGCCAAAGAAAACCCACAGAGAAAACCATCTGGCTCCTTCTGTGTGCAAATGCATCCAAGACACCTGGGAACTTGTGTTTTCCACAGGCAGCCCCAGTCCACACAGCTGGTTTCTCAGAGGCTATTAGCCACCTATGGCTCTAGCACAGGGTGACCTCAACTTAAATCAGCCAAAAATCTAATGTGCAAGGTGGAAATTCACTGCCAGTATCTCTTCATAATGTCTAAAGTCGGCAGCTGACTAAATTCATCAACTGACTAAGCCATAGGATTGGTAGAGGAGATAAAATAGCAAGAAAATCAGCAAGGAGTTGAAAATTTTATGTCCATGCACTTCCTCCACCAAAGTCTCTTTCCAGTGTTTCAAAGTCTTTCCATTAGGAATGAATAATCAGGATGGGGATGGAGGATCGTGTAGGTCAGGCATGTTCTCCTTGCCTCCTGAATTTATATGGAACATAACTAATACTTGTACTGATGCAATTTTTCTGGATCATGACAGAAGGACTAGGTTGTCTGCATATAAAACACAACAGGAGCACAGGAATGCACTCATGGGAGCCCTGTGATGGACTGGAGCTTCAAGGAACACTTCTAGTGATGGGTAAATGATTTTCAGCAGTGTTTGCAGAAAACAAACCTCAAAAAACTAAAACAAAACCAGCCCCACATGTGACTAAACATTCACTATTTGCAACTAAATAAAAATAATAAAAAGAAAGAATTCCACTGAATTATTTCCAGACCTTGGGCAAGTTTCAGAAGCTCCTGCTGTCTCTATCTCATCATACTCTAAATGAGGACAAATCATCCTTATATACCTCTGTGATGTGTTTGACAGCTTAAGTAATACAGTATCTGAAACTGAAATACGATTAGTAAGTTAGAAGTAAGGAGCAGCGGTAATGCCTGGTAATGATTTTGCTCTTTTTAATTAATTTTTATTTGTGATCTTTTAGAACCTAGAAATTAATGTTTATTATTATTTTATGGTTAACAGCACAGAAGAAAAGATGGCTTCACTTGAATACCCACTTGCTCTGGTATTAATTCTCTACAGCCCTGATCAGACACCTAATTTGAACACTCCCAGCGATAGCAGTTTACTGCTACATTTTCATCTTACACTTAGAGATGAAGGATATTTTTAAAGGCAGATAGCTACAATCCGCAATAATCTATAGTCATAGGTGAGACTATAACCACTATAAACATGCCATAGGAAGCACAGAACGGTCACACTTGTGAATTGCACTATTTGACTTTTATGGAGTTATGCAAATAGCTAGAGTGTTTTGAAAAGGCCAGGAAACCTTCTAGTCCAAATTCAGGTAGGAAAAGTCATTCAAGTCCCCGTGGCTTTGAAACTCTGTTTCTGATTTGCGTAACAGGAGATTGCACTACAGAAGCACTACAAGATAAGCCAAGTGGTTAATATAAAAAGAGTCAAAAAAAAAGTTGCTCCAAAGAGGTCTTACAAGACAAGCTAAGACCTGCTATCCACCTACGACAGACTTAAATACATAATCAGACTTTGAAATGCTTACCCCAGCATAGTCATCTCATTCACTGATTCAGAGCTCAGATTCATGCAGCCTTCAAAAAACTAAATTTTCCTAATGGAAGAGTTATGTTTTTATTGGTCTGCAGGGAAGGAACATTTCAAGCACTTAATGCAATGCCCGCTCTCATTTCCGTAATTCTTCTTCCATTAAGAAATGAAAAAGAGCTGAAAAAATTACTCCCTTTTGCTGAAAATTCTGCAGATTTTCTGTCCATCATCTTCTGTTTACAAAGGTAACAACATTGACATCTTTTACCCACTGAACGTTTAAAAGATGTTTCCTCTGTTGCAAGCTTGGTGATGATGCCAGCTTCCTTCAATCACACAGAAAAAAAAATAATTAAAGCATAAAAAATTCTGAAACCAGTTAGAAATTATAACTGAAAAGACAAAATCTTTCACTTCTCTAACACGTTCACACTCATGCACATGAGCAAGTGGAAATCTAGATCAATATGGCATCATCAGCACAATAAAAATAATTATGTAGTGAGGTAATATTCTCACAAACTGTCATAACACTTCATAGACCTAGAGTTAGAATATCAGCATGCAATAAATAAGCATGTCTGATTAATTATAACTCCATAATTATGAGAGACACCACATTTCTGAAGTATAATATGCAACAATCCAGTTCCAAATCTTTCCAGATAAATAATATTAAAGAAAAAAAATATATTTTACTCTTGAGATTGATGCAAAGAAAATGGAAGTGAATTGAAAACTAGATTAAATATTCTTCTAGGTTCAGAAAAGTAGGGAAAATAATCTTTTTCTCTTTGTCTACCTGTTTCTCTCCAAAGGTTCAACCCAATTCTTCAGAAAAGCACATTTAAGATAAAATACATCTGATATCGCTGATCACACAATAACCCAACATATTTCACTGCCTGCATGCTATCTGATGCACTGAAAAATCTTTTTCTCTGTCATTTGTTCTTCTTTCTCTCATCACAAACACGACAACAAGGTTTCCCTGCACCTTTCTGGGCACGAGCAGACGCTGCTCCCAGCCCACACGCTGCCGCTGACCTGCTCTTTACGCTCAGACTCGGCTGTTACAACTTTAACCTCTTGACAACAACCCCCTGTTAACTCTGGCGTTAGCAGAGTCACAGTTCATGTCCACCTCAGCCGTCCCATTGCTCTGCACTGAACTACAGCCTTTGATTTAACTTCCTGTGCAACTCTGAAAATTAAATCAGCGGACACCTCCTTTCTGACATTATTTTACATTATTGCTTCTTTCCAGTGGTTCCTTTGATCTGAGGTAGATCTGAGAAACTGAGGTAGAGACAGCGATGGGAGTAGGATTTTTTTTTTTTTTTTTTTTTCTTCTGGATGTTTTCCTGTTTGCTTCTGACTTATTTCAAGCATTTTCCTTGCAGGAGGTAGATGGAAGATCCCACTCTGCTCCGGGCTGCAGCTCCATTTCTGGGCACAGGTGAGGCTGGGATCTTTTAAGAACTCTTTGGACTGGTTGTCTACTTCCAGCCCACCACGAATCTCCTATTCCTCTCTGCAGGAAATCATACATAGTAAACAGATCATTCTGCCTCTTACTCCAGCCCCTCATTAGCAGACCCAATTGTGTAAAGATAATGCAAATTTTTGTAGACACACAAAAGAAGTTGCCACCGCTATTCAATATATTAAAATGTTGGACACATGCTGCAGAATAAAAAATATGAAAAGTGAAAAAATATGTCAAAACAGTATAGCTCGTTTCCTCACTAAGTAGCAGGGTATTCAGTGAAACACAGATGACTTCACAAAAGGTGTCGACTGATTGTTTGCTAGGTTAAACACATGGCAAAACACGCCCTAACATCTCACTAGCTGTCTGTCTGTGGCTCACTCTGGAAGAGATGCTAAAAACTCCTAGATCAGAGACTAAAACAGAAAAAGCACTTTAATTGACAGCCCTAATTTACAGCTGAAGCGATCCCAACCAGTGCTGTCTTTAATGAAATTCAATACTTTAACAGATGTCCTTAGACCGTTTTAGAGAATTATTAAAAATATTTGGAATTCCTTTTAAATTTTAACAGTCAGTTTTAAAATAATGCATCACAGTCAACATCTTTGTAATTTGGATGGTCAAAAGGAGTAGCTTTGATTTGATCCTGTGGATTGAAAGACTTCACACAGTAAGTGCAAATGAAGCTTGTGGAAATAATGGAAATGGTGAATTTCCTGCAGGTTTGAAAAAGTAATGGGAAAAATTAAAATATTAAAGCATAAACCAGCTTGGCAAGAAGCAGCCTACGGAGAAGCCACTCAGAGCAAAATTTTCTTGCTCAACTGTACCTCTCATTGACATTACAGAAAGAAAACACTTCTCTATACACAGCTGGACTGTCAGAGGGCAAAGCTCGTTTTCTGTAAAGCAACCAGCCAGCCCACAATGAGATCAAAAGCTCTCCTTCACCTGGCCTACAGCCACAAACAGCACATCCGCTTGCCCGCACCCTTGAGTGCTGTTTTAAGGAGCTGCTGATAGAGATGAAGTATTCGTGTGGGTTATATCAAATATATTCCTTTCCTGAAGTCCAACCAGTCCTACTATACTACCAGCT